TGAGTAAGGATCTTATTCATATTCAAATACTGCATTTCAAAAATCGAGAACAATAATGATGGCAAAAGAAACCATTATTTTATGTCACTAAGGGAGAAAATATTGAGGTGAATTTAACTATGATATAATACTTTTTCTCAGAATTTTTAATTTTTATATATCCAGAAAGTTCTCTTAAATGTATACAGACATCAGTTTTTCTTACACCATTGTTATGCATATATAAAAAAAGAACTGAAATAAACTGATTCGAGTATTCCTAAAATGTCTTCATATTTGGAGCCCAACTCTGCATCATGTTTTGATTCAATATCTATAATGCCTGAGATTTCCCTCACACAGTTATCATCTGTACCACGGAGAGCACTGGAGATACAGCATTTATCAAAAGTACTTGGCTACTGTCTCAAGAAATTTCATCTGAGTCACTGAAATCCATTCTGCAAACTGAACTCATAATTTTGTTTCTTTCTTCAATCATGATGCATGTGACTAGAAGGTAAGCAGCTTTGGTTCAAAGACATTAAGAAGTTTCTGACAAACTGATGTGTCACACCCTAACAACAGTCCTTTGCAACAGGTCAATCAGCCAGGCTGCTATTAGTTTGAAATTTCTTCCATCTATTCCAAGGGATTTGGCCATTTCTCCTGCCTTCAATTGATCATGTAATAAATGTTCATTAATAAATGTTCAAATGTAGTGCGTCTTCAGATACTTGTGGATATCTTTTTTTCTTATAAATCACTTGACTGTTTTGCAAGAAAATATGAAATTGTAGTCATCCATCCAATGATGAATACTACCCTTGCTAACATCAAACTTAAGCCCTGCTGCACTTCCTGTGACTTTTTTCACACATAATAATTTGTTGAAGATATTTTAAAAGACAAACTAATGTAATGTTAACAATTCATGTAACTCAACTAAAATGATGAAAGCCTGGAAAACCATGATGCCCAGGCACTGGCAAGTACATCATGACTACGAACTGGCTGGTAGGAACTGTAAGACACCATTGATTATAAGACACATCACAATTTCAGGCAATAAAATGTAAAACAGAAAATGTAATTTTGAATCAAAAAGTCATTCATCTAATAAAGGTCTTGTAGTAGACCCTTGGCAGGAGATTTGTTTTTTTAAATGATTGATAAACTCAATTCTTAAGGATCTGATGAATAATAATAGGAATAAAAAAGACAGTCAAATAATTATAATATAAGATAGGATTTGATTAAGATAAACTGCTATTGAATTCAGATATACTGCTATAGGAATTCAGATACACTGCTACAGGAATTCACAAAGGAAGTTGAAATTACTTCCTGCTTACTCAGAATAAGGGAAAACAGAGACCAGAGAAAGGGCTAAAAGAAAGAGGCCAAACAAGAGCAAATTTAAGGCATGATTATGACTGATGAAGCAATGTCTTAGAGGAGGTGGATGAATTGGTTTTAAGAAAAAAATGTCTTTAATTATTGATGGGAAAGAAGAGTCTTTAGAAATGTCTTAAGAAATATGTCGTCTCTTACAATTAACAGGAAAGAAGAGGTCAGAAATTACAAGAAACTGTAAGATGGAAAGAAAGATCTGGAAACAGGTTGGATTAGCTGGCCTCAGGGAACTGGGACACAAAGTGTCCACTGAAAGTGAGGGAACAGACACAGGCAACTGGTTTGGAATAGCGCCATGGGAGATGAAACAAGGAGTAAATAAGAAACTGCACCTCAGGAATAAATACCCAGCTGAGGCCAAATTAAATGAATTTTGAACAGAATTCATCAGCCCAGACTCACAACTTTCTCTAGCAAAGTTCAGAACAGAAGTAGGAGAAAAAAAGATAAATTGTGGGATTTACTCTATGATATTAGATTGAGAATTAGAATGAAGGAATTAGGGCTGCAAAAATTTCTGAAATGTCCAGCCATACTGTCACAAGTTCTGCAGCATTACTGAAGAAAATTTGATTTGGTCTTTATAAAAATAGACTAACAATCATATATTCACCAGACTCTCACATCTATTACCTCATTTCATCTTCCCAACAGATCTGCAATATAAGATATTTTTATAGATATGGAAACAGACTTAAAAAGACTGAATCCCAAATCACCCATTGGATCCTGACCCAAAGCACTTCAACTATAAGCCTACTACTTTTCCTACTACACCATAGCTGCTTTGCTATACTTACTCCTTGACAGTATACTCTTAAGTCAGTTGCCAAATGGTCTGTCCTGGTATCAAATCAAATACTAGTTAAGGTTCACTTCATTCCCACTCCCCCTTTAGCCTAGTTTCTAGGTCTTATATAAGGAAGAGACTCTGCCTTTTAAACTTAAAAATCTTAGATTGACATACAATAGCCATGATATGGAAGCAACCTAAATGCCCATCAACAGACGATTAGATAAAGAAAGTATGGCTCATATATACAATGGAATATTACTCAGTCATTAAAAAAAAATGAAATCCTACCATTTGCAACAACATGGATGGACCTAGAGGTTACTATGCTGAATGAATAAGTCAGACAGAGAAAGATATATATGATTTAACTTAAATGCAGAATCTAAAGAACAAAAAGAACAAACTAATCAAAAACAGACTCACAAATAGAGTGGACAATTTGGTGACAGACAGAGGGAATGGAGTTTGGGAGGCTGGGAGAATGGGGTGATGGGTTAAAGAAATACAAATTAGTAGTTGACAGTTGGACATGGGGAGCATGGCAGAGGGAATGCAGTTAGCATTAATATGATGGTGGAAGGCCTGGGGAGGGAGGGAGCAATTGGGGAGATCGTTTTATGAACTATATAGATGTCTAACCAATGTAGTGTATACTTGAAACGAATTTAAATAAATAAATTTTTAAAAAATCTTAGACTGACAAAATGACAGGAAAATGAAAAGATAGGTATAAAAAAGAACCCAGATAAAATAAAAATTTTTAAGACTAATAACATTTAATTTTTACAATGTGTCTCATACTTATTCATACTTAAGATATGAGTAACAGACACTGTCCACTTTCTCAAGGCCAGCCAGGCAAATCCTTATATGTAGTCTCTAAAGCTAAGCTTCCCAAGTATACAAGCAAACTCAGTGACTTTTCCCCTTGTTAAAATTGCAATTAGAAACATCCCAAATGCCCATCAACTAATAGATGAATAAATAAAATATATCCATACAATGAAATATTATTCCACAATAAAAAGGAATATATTACTAAAACATGACACAATATGGATGAACCTTGAAAACATTATGCTAAGAAAAAAAAGCCAGTTACGAAAGATCACATATTATATGATTCCACTTATACGAAATGACCAGAATAGGCAAATCTATAGAGACGGAAAGTAGAGTAGTGGTTGCCAGGGGCAAAATGAGGAGTGACTGCTAATAATTATGATGTTTCTTTTTGGAGTGATGAAAATGTTCTAAAATTGCAGTGATGCTTGTACAATTCTGTGAACATATTAAAAACCATGGAATTGTACACTTAAATGACTGAATTGTGTGGAATGTAAATTATATATCAATAAAGCTGTTAAAAAATGGCAATTAGGAGGTAGTTCTACTGGTCATGGGTGGATATGTGTGTGTACGGACATATACACATGGATAACTAATTAAAATGTGAAATAAAATGTAAGAGCTTACTTTTTTTTTTTAACTTAATGGTTTTATAAGCCTCTCAGTTGAGTGATGCCAATAAGTGTCTGAGGCCAACACCTCTGACATACTTATTCTATTTCCCATATTGTCACCATCAGATAAATATACTGGCTGCCATGTGTTTCTCCTTTCACTTTTTTCCATTCCCACTCCAACTTCATAAAAATGTCTCATTTTACTCCAGTGTTCTGAAACATTCAGGAATCCTGTGACTATGTTTAAAAAGTAACTTACTCCCCTAGACTCTGGTGTTCCTCCTTTTTTATGCTGTATTCCTATGAGACTTGTGTTTAAAAATAAATACTATCCACTGCACTTGCAAGTATGGCTTTATCTAGAGTAACTGTGCAGCAGTACCACACTCCTGGAGAGAACTCAGGCTACCACGTGGTTTTGCCTTACCCAACATGAGATACAATGTTTTGACCTTGAAAACATTAGGAGTGACTTGATTAGACTTTCCTTTCCTAATACTTGATTTTGAGTAATTTGAACCTAGAGCCCTAGGAAAGCAGAGGGTCTTTGGGTATATTCTTTCTTCTTAATTTAATGATTCAGATTAGACATAATCTATCATTCTAGATAATTTAACAATTTTAAAATATTGAACAAGTAGCAAAGATTATGTAGGGAGAGCTTTTCTATAGCTTTAGGTATATAAGTAGAACAATGGGGAAAATGTAGATATCCTTTACCTCCTTCCAACAGAAATTAAAGAGTTTGGTCAATCATCATACAGAAACACAAGAAAACACTGCACACACACACAAACACACAGAGAGACCAATTGTAAAACAAGGTAGAAACATGGGAAGTATTTGTGATACAAAGTAAATTGCCAGAACATAAAATAGTATATATAATAATGATTTAAAACTATGTCCTCCTTTAAAAATACATCATCTTTTTAAAAAATCATTTGGAAAATGATTCACCTCCAAACCTCTCCTTTTTAAAGTTTCCCCATAGATTCTACTTGCTCAATTAAATTTCTCTTTTTTGTTTTAGTCTCCTATGCACTGTCTTTCTGGTCACTACTATTTTCTAGTACCGTTGTCTTTACCTCCTTCACTCATTGCTTTGATGAAAATTTCATTGTCTATCATGCTTTTTTCCAACTCCAGGAAAAATATCTATATAAAGGCTACAGAGTAGAAACAAAGCCATGTTGTGATTGCTGCACATACTCTCCACATCGTGCCTTGTTATCACTGTGAAAGTTACAAAGCAGCAAAAGGAGACTGAAATGGAAGATAACTAAGGAACTGTACCATGCCTCAAAGAAATTTAAAACACTCAACTACTATGAGTTTCTTACCTATTGCATGAATCTGATTCTGGTGAAGAAAGAGTTTCTTGAATATCAGTACAACTAGAAGAATCGTCAGGTCTATCAGGTTCCAGTTTCCCCGGAGAGTCCACCTTTGACTGAGGGAAGTGGTTTGTTACCAAGGACATATCTGAGAATTTCATTTTATTATCTTCCTGTCCTAAAAGGGAAAAAAAAAATGAAGAACAGAAAAAAAAAGAAACATTTAAGAGTATCTTAAAATATACAACCTCTGTATGTTTATTTCAACAACACTTAATATTGCTATTTGTACTTAGTAAAATGGAAGTTTATGTAACATTGATTACAAAACTCCAGTGACAGAGAATTAGAATCAACACTACAATGGCATCGTCTAATTATATTGTATATCCAGATTAATTAATTTAAAAACAAAATTTCTTTTAAAACCAGGAGTGGGGAGAACCTTGTAATTCTAATGAGGATTCTATTTACAGTATTACTAAAGAATTCTGCATATTCACAGATCAGAGAACACTGATAAACGTAAGCATAACAAAAAAAGATTAACGATTCCATTAATAAAAGAACCACAATATTTGTCACTCACTACTACAGTAGTGAATCTATCTAGACATTTTTCTAAATCTGTTACACAGAATCTAATACTCACTATGGAAAAGGAAAACCAATCAGACATAACCAGCATTTCTGCTTGATCCAATAAATGTCACATTTCTATGCATCCCTTGTCATATTATAGCCTCAATGTGAGGTCTCTTATTGCAGATAGAGATAAAGGCCCAGGAAAGCTGGAGAGATGCAGACACAAGGTAAGAGTGTGACATGCAGGGATGACCAAATATCTGTAGATATGAGTGCTGAAAATAATATCATCCATGAAGGATTCTTCGGTGCCCAAGACTCTCCTCATGATCTGTTTTTAGGACTCGGCTAGGATTTCAATAGTGCTGTCTTTTAGATTCAGAAACTGAATAAATACTATACTTAACATGCAAGCCATGAGTGCTAATAGTATAGAGCTCCCTTTCATGAGTTTCCTCATAAAGAAGCAGAGCTTTCACACATCATCCAGTGTGTTTATAGAGGCAAGTGACCCTTAACAAAGGACACTAAACAGAATTGTCAAAGTTTTATTATAAAAGAGAAAATTTACAGGAAAAGACATGCAACAAAACAGATGAAGGGTTTACTTGAGAGAACACACATCTTGTTCACCTATACTGGTACTTCAATGAGCAAGTTAATTTTAAAGAGCAAAAATTACACAGTACATATATTTGTATGATGCCATACAAAGCCCAGCTTTTCAGCCAGTCTGTGCCAGTCTATTTGTCTTCCTCTCTCTCACACTGTCCACCTCTCCCAGACATGTACATTCATGCACAGCAATCTATCAGCAGCATTCATCTGTGAAGCCCAGAGAGAACAAATATTTATGTGCATATACACATATAATACATAACCCCTAAGTACAAGCAAGCAATCATTTCAAGCAAGATTCAACCAATGAACAAAAATGTTCTCCTAATCTGAGATATTAATTTAAGCCAGATTTTCTCAGAAGCTAAACTTTCTAAGAATATGCTTTAATAACTGCATGAACAAATCCAAGTTGTTCACAAAGACCATGAGGTATATATACTCAGGCAGCAGCCTCCTAAATGATACCAGGAGAATTTAGAACAAAAAGAGTATAATATCACCTAAAAGAATAAAATACTTTGGAATAAATCTAACGAAGGCGGTAAAAGACTTGTATGCTGAAGAATGCAAAACTTGTTGAAAGAAATTAAAGAAGACACACATAAATGAAAGACATCCTGTGTTCATGATTGGAAGACAATATTGTTAAGATGTAAAAACTAATTAAAACAATGTATAGATTCAATGCAATCCCAAAGGCACTTTTTGTAGAAGAAAAATCCATCCTAAAATTTGCATGGAATCACCTGAAACAAATATAAATTAATGCTGAAGGTCAACTCTAATGGAAAAATAAAAATTTTAAAAATATATTCACATGGTATCTTAAGGGAGCCTAAGAGCCAGAACAATGCTGAAAAGAAAGAATAAAGTTGAAGGACTTCCACTTCCCAACTTCGAAATTTATTACAAAGCTACAATAATTAAAACAGTATAGTACTGGCATAAGGACAGACATATAGACCACCAGAATAGAACAGAATACAGAAATAAACCCTCATATATACAATTAATTGATTTTCAACAAGGATGTCAAGAGCATTCAGTGGGGGAAAGCACAGTCTCATTAACAAATAGTGCTCAGAAGACTGAATTATCTACATACAAAAGAATGAAGTTGGACCCTTCCCTTGCACCATATATATAAAATAACCTGAAATGGACTAGAGACCTAAATGTAAGAGCTAAAACTATAAAACGCTTAGTAAAAAGCAAAGAAAAATCTTCATGACACTGATTTGACAACTTCATTTATCTAATACCAAAAGAGCAGCAAATAAAAGAAAAAAATTGATAAACTGGATTTCATCAAAATTAAGCACCTATGTGCATCACAAGACACTATCAAGAAAGCAAAAAAAACTACCCAGAAAATGTTTACAAACATTTGCAAATCATATATATATGACATTAATATCCAGAACATATAAAGAACTCCTAAAACTAAAGAACAAAAAAATCCAAACCACCCAACTTAAAAAATGGATAAAGGACTTTAACAGACAATTCTCCAAAGAAGACAAAAGACTAATAAACATATGAAAAAGTGCTCAACATCACCAGGCTCTAGGAAAATGCAAATCAAAACCAATGAGATACCACTTTATACCTACCACAATGGCTAAAGAAAAAAACAAGTGTTAAAAACAAAAAAAAGCAAGGATATAGAGAATATGGAATTCTCAAGCATTGCTGGTGGGAATGTAAAATGGTATAGCTACTGTAGAAAATAGCTTGGTGGTTTTTCAAAAGGTAAACAGAATTACCAAATGAACCAGAAATTCCACTCCCAGGTATATATACAAAAGAATGGAAAGCAGAGAATTGAACAGATATTTGAAAACCAATGTTTACAGAAGCACTGTTCACAATAGCCCAAAGATGAAAATAATCCATTATAGATGAATGAATGGATAAACAAAATGTGGTATATACATACAATGGAATATTATTCAGCCATAAATAGTAATAAAATTTTGATACGTACTACAAATTGAGGACCTTGAAAATAATGTGCTTAATGAAATAAGCTAACACAGAGGACAAATATATGATTCCACCTATATGAGGTACCTAGAATAAGCATATTCACAGCTACAGAAAGTAGAATAGAGATTACTAGTGGCTAGGGGTGAGGGGAAAAGAGAGTTATTTAATTGATACAGAGTTTTCATTGGAGATGATGAAAAAGTTTTGGGTGGTGATGGTTACACAACATTATACAACCTTGTGAATGTATTTAATGCCACTGAACTATACATTTATGAAAAGTTAAAATAATATGGTATATTTTACCATAGTAAAGAAAAAAAATAATAACAGGATTTCCTTGAGCACTTTCCTCCATTATGATTCTGTTTTGTTACTGGCCCAAAGCCCTGGCAATAAAAATATAATCTCAACTTTTAAAATGGGTCAAAATTAAGGAATGTGCCATGTATTGGCATACCAAGTATATTAGCTTTAGATTTTTATAGCAGAACATTCCATCCAAAATAAATACCTATAAGAAAAATAATTTATTCTCTTTGTAGGATAGCTAAAGATCTGCAACAGTAAATCCTACACCTAGAAAACAACCTCAAGCTTAAACAACTAAGAAACTTCTGATTTATCATTAACTGAAAGGAAGACAGGTTTTATAAACTGTCTGCAGGACATTCTCCCAATCCTTTTTCCCATTTCAAATATCTAATAAGTCCAAAGTAAATACCTTTGGTTTAATTTTCTTTGTGTATTAAAAATAGAGAAATTCAATATTATTTGTTTTTAATTAAAGTCTCTTACCCATGCATATGGATAATAGTTTTTCTGTAGATTCATCTTTCTTTGTTACTTTTTTTTTTGACATTCCAACAGTTTTCTTGTATCCTTTTTTGGCCTGATCCACCAGAAGCTGAAATTCATTCTGATGTTTTTTACCTGAAATTCAGAAGATCTTCTCAGTAAAGCAAGGACTACAGAAGTTATATATGTATAATGGACAAACAGTATACAAGCTTGCTCAAGAATAGTACCCTTGGGAATCACTTGCAATAAGTTCAAATACTGGTAAGCACAAGAACACAAGGGGCTGGAAGATTGTGGAAGCCTTTCCTTTTTATCATCTCCCTTCTTCAGATACAAACATGGAAACATGGCATTCTTAATTTGCTGCTGCAGGTTTCTTCCCAAAACCCATTCTCTTGAAAGGCTTTTGAGCCTGAAAAATATGGCTTTCTTAAATATATCCAAAAGACACAAAAGAGTACTAAGATGAAGAATATTAATTAAATATATAAAAGCAGACGCCTCTGGGAAAGTTTGGTTATAAAAACAAAGGATATGTTTCAATCCCCCTTTTTCTTTCATATTTCTCGCCTGTTTCCTATCAGAATCTCTTTAATATTTGAAGATCTTACCTCTACCACCAAACTACCTCATCTGAGGATGCTACAATCACATCAATCTGAATTTACTACTACTTTCGCACCTCTGAAAATAATTTATGCCTGGCCTCTAGGTCACCATTAGTAATGTATATGAATTTACTTCATAAAGAGTAGCTAGTCATCGTTAGAGCATGACTTGAGGACATCTATTTGTGACTCTGAACCATAGTTCAAATAGCTGAGGTTGCACTTTACTGAAGCCATGGTTCAAAATGATGTTACAAATCCTATAGAAAAATATATTTTAGAAAGAAATCATACTGCACATGGTTAAAACAAAGTTTTGAGGCTGTTTTCAAATAGTGCTTCAAGTGAAAACTATGCATTTTCTAGGGTGACCTTTTCAGGATTCCAGCCATTCACTGCCTTTGAGCTATGCTATGGCTCTATAAATTGTAGGTAACTTGGCAATAGAAAATATTTCCCATTTAGATATGCAAAATCTTGGCTGGTGAACTTCAATTGATTTCCCTCCCCCACTGTGGAAGAAGCCAATTTTGCCTCCATTTGCACATTCATTTCAATGTTCCTGATCAATAAATGTGACTGTTCTCTGGACATTAGGGAGACTTCTGCAAATTTCAAAATATTCATGTGTGTGGTATGTGTATGAAAACTCTCAGTGAAACTAATATGTTGGGTTGTAAAATGTCTGGTAAATTTTAAATAACAGACTGGTTAAAATTTCAGCAGAAGAAATATTAGCTGGCCATAAAGATTACTGGAAAAAAGTCAGTTCTTTAGAAACAGTTGAGATCCTATCTAAGATACAAGCTAGGTGATTTCTTTCAAGTCCTATTTAACTCCATGAATTTTAGGATAAGTACTTTGTACTTCTTAAGTTCCCCAGAATCAATGAGCTAACGCCATCACAGTTTCTGTTGGGTAAGGGTAACATAGCACTACAAGATCTCCGTAATTTAGTTAGACCTGGTCTAGGTCGCTTTCCTAGTGAAGCCACTCCACTGTGTACCTATGGATTGTGGATTTAAGAATTACACAAGAAACTTGCTTAAAGTAATCTCATTAACAGTTAAGGAGGTTTAATGACTTTATCTTCTGAAGTAATAAAATCCCAGTTTTAAGAGATTTTCTTTTTTAAATCTAATTACTCCTGCTCCTGGGCTGGAAACCAAAAAGTAAATGGCAGCCACTGCTTTGACTTTGGCCCAAGAAGTCCAATAACCTCTGCTCAAAAAAAGAGAACAATTACATAAGATATGTAAATGTCAAATCACTGGGCTATACATCTGAAACTAATATAACATTATATGTCAACTATACTTTACTAAAAAAAAAAGGAAAAAATAACAATGTCAAGAGATTATGACTAATAAACCTGTTCCCACTCATCTCTTCACCTCACTTTAGGAGTTCTGCCATTTGGCAAGGAATACTTTAGAGTTTAAAATCTCAGTTCTACTGGTTAAAAGTTTTAAGTGGCTCAGATAGTTTTGGGAGCTGATGAATAAGCCCACATTCAACCAACTTATATTCTTCAAGATTTTTAATATTTGAATCATACCATCCTTTCTGCCACTCTAAGTTGAAATATCATAATCTTTCTAGTACCAAGGTAAGCCCTTCACTCTCTGACCACTTTAACTACTCTTTTTTGACTAGCTTTTACAGCCAGAGAATCTGTGGGTCTGCCCATGAAGGCACGGGTACATAAGACCAAAACCAGGCTCTCCCACGAGTGGTACAGACTCAACTCCCTCTACAGTGATGCCACTGATACTTTTTCATTCACCACTGTGAACAAACTTGACAGCTTCCAAATACTTAACTTTTCTGATGAGATCACTGGTGATATTAAGGAATGCTATTTTTTAGTATTATAATATATAAATGAAATATGCAAACACTTGGAACTCAATGAACCAATATTTTCTAAATAACCGACAAATAATGTTAAGGTTCATTCGAAGGACATGACAGAGCAGTGGATTTTAACGTAACAAAGTACAAAAACTTCATTAATATGATCTCAAGTTCCACTGTAACTAATCTTTCTAAAATAACACTGTTATATTACAGTGTCCTTTCAAAGAATACGCGCAGGTATCTAAAAAAATCTATTGAAACACTTTTCAATTCTCTATCTCACAGGCTAGATATTTTTCATATACTTTAAGCAAAACAACACATGGAAGTTTAAAAGCAGAAGCTGGTATGAGAATCAAGATGTCTTATTAAGCAAAACATGAAAGAGATCTGCAAAACAAAAGAATGCCACTCCTCACAAATTTTTTAAAATCAGGCTTATTGAGAAATAATTTACACACAAAAAATTCATCAATTTTAAGTGAACTATTTGATTTTTTTTTTTAATGTATAGTCGTGTAACTACCAATACAATCTTGAAATAGAAGATTTAAATCGGCCAATAGTTCCTTTATGAACCTTTGTAGTCAGCCCCTCACCCTTTTTTTCCCACCCACAGCCCCTGGCAGTACCAATCTGCTTTCTGTTACCATATTTTTGCCTTTTCTAGAACTTCATATACATAGAATCACACAGTATGCTACTTTTTTAGTTTGGCTTTCTCTTAACATAATGTTTCTGAGATTCACCCATGTTACATATGTCAGGAGTTAATTCTTTTTTATTGCTAAGCACTATTTCATTGTATATGGATGGATGGATCACAATGTATTTATGAATATTTAGGCTGTTTTCAGTTTAGGATAATATGAATAAGCTGCTATAAACATTTGCCTATAACACTCCTTAAACTGTTCATTTACAACTGGTGGATTTTATTTTTGTAAATTATGTCTCGAAACTGATTTAAAAGATCTGTGTAGATATATGCCTTCATTTCTCTTGGGTAAATAGCTAGGAGTACAATGGATGGTAAGTCTATGATTGACTTTATAACAAATTGCTAAACCGTTTACTTAAGTGAATGCATCATTTGGCATTTTCACCCGCAATGTATGAGTTCCATTTGTCCTACACCCTAGCCTGCACTTGGACCTGCCCTTTTTTATTTTCTTCCATGAAAATAAGTGTATACTATTGTTTCATTGTCATTTTCATTTATATTGTCCTAAAGACTAATGAGGAATAAGACTAACTGTATCTTTTAATGTGGTTATTTGGTGTCTAAATAACTTCTTTGCTGAAGAATGTTTAAATCTTTTGCCTTTTTAAAAAATATGACATATTATTGAATTGTAAGAGTTCTTTATATAACATAGGTGCTTGTACTTGGACAAATATAAATTTTACAGTATTTTCTTGTAATCTGTGGCTTGCATTTTCATTTTCATATTTGTCTTCTGAAGAAAAATCATTTTTTCTTTTAATGAAGTAATTTATGATTTTCTTTCACCTTTTTCTTTTATGATTCATACCATATATAAAATTTCATGGAAACTTTGGCCTCATAAAATGAGATAGAAAGTATTCCATTTCAATTTTCTAGAAGAATTTGTGTAGAACTGGTATTTTTCTTTCCTTATATGTTTCATTGAATTCACCAGTGAAGCCATTTAGATATGGAGTTTTCTTCCTGGGAATGCAAATTTAATTTATTTAATAGATACAGGGCTATTCAGCTTACCTATTTCTTCTCGAGTAAGGTTTCATAATTTGTGTCTTTTAAGAAATTCATCCATTTCGTGTATGTTCTCAAATTTACTGGCATAAAATTATTCATAATATTCCCTTATTATTCTTTTGTGTATGTGTGTTGTTGATTTTATTCAATTTATTGGGGTGACACTGGTTAAAAAAATTACATGTTTCAAAGGTACAATTCAATACGTCATATGCATATTGCACTGTGTGTTCCCCATCCAAAGTTAAATTTCCTTTCACCATATAATTGGCCCCTTTTAACCTTATCTACCTCCCCCCCTACTTTCCTTCTAGTAACCCATGCCCATGTCCATGAGTCTGTTTGTCTCGTTTGTGTGTTGCTTTGTTTTATATCCCACGCATGAGTGAAATCACATGGTTCTCAACTTTTTCTGACTTATTTCATTTAGCATAATCTCAAGATCCATCCATGTTGTCCCAAATGGCAGTATTTCATCTTTTCTCATGGCTGAGTAATATGCCATTGTATATGTGTACCACATTTTTAACCAGTCATCGAAGGGCACTTCAATTGTTTCCCTGTCTTGGCCACCATGAATAATGATGCTGCAATGAACACTGGGGTGCATATATCTTTATGGATACATGTTTTCAAATTTTTGAGGTAGATACCCAGAACAGGGATTGCTGGGTCATATGGTAATTCTATTCTTAATTTTTTGAGGAACCTCCATACTATTTTACATAGTAGCTCTATCAATTTACATTCCCACCAGCAGTGTATGAGGGTTCCATTATCCCTACAACCTCTCCAACAGTTATTATTTGTCCTGTTGATGATAGTCATTCTAACAGATGTGAGGTGGTATCTCATTGTGGTTTTGATTTGCATTTCCCTAATGGCTAGTGAAATTGAGCATCTTTTCATATGTCTGTTGGCCA